TTTTTTATATTAAGGATGAAGAATTTGTAAGACATTACATAAATTAAAGAAAGTATTACCTCCTTCCAATAGCAATCCTCCTATAAAGTTTGAATATTGTGGGCCAAAGAGACCTTAAGTTATGCTCCGGAAACTGTTTTCAGTTTTAAAGTAGTAGTGACCTTGACCTTTGACCGTGTGACCACAAATCAATAGGGGTCTCCTACCCAATATGGACAATCATCCTATGAAGTTTGAAAATTGTGGGCCAAATAGAACTTAAGTTATGCTCCGGAAATTGTTTTCAGTGTTAAGGTAATAGTGACCTTGATCTTTGACCTTGTGACCCCAAAATCAATAGGGGTCTCCTACCAAATATGGACATTCATCCTATGAAGTTTTAACACTGTGGGCAACATGGAACTTAAGTAATGCTCCGGAGACTGTTTTCAGTTTTAAGGTTATAGTGACCTTGACCTCTCACCTTGTGAACCCAAAATCAATAGGGGTCTTCTACCCAATATGGACAATCATCCTATGAAAATTGAACACTGTGGGTCAAATGGAACTTAAGTTATGCTCCGGAAACTGTTTTCAGTTTTAAGGTGATAGTGACCTTGACCTTTGACCTTGTGACCCCAAAATCGATAGGGGTCTTCTACCTAATATGGACAATCATCCTATGAAGTTTAAATGTTGTGGGCCAAATGAAACTTAAGTTATGCTCCGGAAAATGTTTTCAGTTTTAAGGTGATAGTGACCTTGACCTTTGACCTTGTGACCCCAAAATCAATAGGGGTCTTCTACCTAATATGGACAATCATCCTATGAAGTTTAAATGTTGTCGGCCAAATGAAACTTAAGTTATGCTCCGGAAACTGTTTTCAGTTTTAAGGTGATAGTGACCTTGACCTTTGACCTTGTGACACCAAAATCAATAGGGTTCTTCTACCTAATATGGGCAATCATCCTATGAACTTTTAATGTTGCGGCCAAATGGAACTTAAGTTATGCTCCGGAAACCAAATTGCTAACGGACGGACAGACGGACGGACGGACGGACAGACAGACAGACAGACGGACGGACGCCAGGGGGTATGACATAATATGCCCGAAATTTTTTCGGGCATATAAAAACTATACAAAGACTTTTAAGTCACCTATGCCATTCACAAACATATCATATTTAAGATTTGTTGCTTAACAACTATGTAGATTTGCCCAGCATTTATTTTAAATAAAAGTAGTGTACTTATGGAAATAAATGTTTCTTTTAAGTTTAATCATTTTCATCACTTTTAGTTTTTCAAATATGCAATACAATTCTTCTTCTTCATGCCAAAAACATGCTCCTTTGGTGGATGACAAAAGATCTTTTAAGGAACTTTATTTTGATAAATCAAATAGTAGTTTGTTCTAGTGTATAAATAGGTCGGGCTACAAAGATGTTAAGTCGGTCACGTACACGAAACATCGAGCGCAAATAAATAAATTTGCTTTTACTTTGATGAAGCCATAGCTATTTAATGCAATGTTTTATATATAAAAAAACAAAAATCAGATTAATCGCTGATGGTTTTTTTCTCGAGAATTGCGAAAAAGTTAATCAAAAGAACTAAAATACTTTGAAAGGACAAAACATATTAAAAAGAATTGGCTAAAGGGCACAAAATGACGCCTTACCGATAAAATTGATACATACAAAGGCAAAGCAAATGCACAAACTGAAAGAAACAAAAATGGCATGCCTACAACAAAAGTAACATCTATTACCGTAGTAAAGGTTAACAGGAAAACTTGTACGACCTTTAGGAATGAACTTAGTGTCTGGTGATCTTCCGGTATGCTGTCACAAATGGCATCTTGGGTAACACTACAATTGCTCAGTGTTAGGTTACACCTAGAACATGGCGCGCAAGCGTCTAATGAGGTTGATTCTGAGTACGTTAATCCATGTTTGCATGGTTCGCATTTGGTGTCCTCATCTGGTGTACCTTTTTAAAAAAAGAAAAAGACATATTTATGTAGGTTTCCATGATAATTTGAAATATAGTTCTTATGATAAATAGTCCGTTAAAATTCTTTTAATCAAGGATTCAAGATCATGATTAAAATTAAGTGACATGTATTCAGATCGAAGAATCAAATCTGTAAATGATTATGTGTAGCAATTATCAATAATGGAACATGGCCCTTGCTCAAAGCATCTAATGAGGTTGATTCTAAGTACGTTAAACATGTTGGAATTTGGTTTGCGCATTTGGGTGTCCCTTCAATCTGGTGTTTACCTTTTTTAAGGGGAAAGAGGCAGTCATACTCGTGTATATATATATATTATATATATATATATATGTTTACGTTTCCCCAACGACAATTTGAACTATAGTTCTTAAGTAGTCCGTATTGCCTATATACTAGATATCTTATTTTGTTTCTAAAATGAGACCTTATTGATCAAGATCATGAAGATTAAGTTAAACTGATCGAAAAATCGGATCTGTAACTTCATCACTGTCAAGTCGAATAATTTGAACACTGATCCTTGCAGACCGACAAGGCTCTTTACTGTTAATAGCTATTATTTTTATTTGCTAATATCAAATTTTAGCATAATATATCTTAAAATAGCGAACCTTTTTACTTCATTTATGTGGATATACATATTTTGCATCAATGCACTAAACCTGTGTGTTTCGTTAGGTAATTGCTCTTTAATTTTGAAAAAATGTTAACTGGACACTTTACCTTTTGTCTTTAAACCTTCTCCGGGGATACATTTCCTGTGACTTGTACAAAATTGATGTGGATCCGTTTTCCAATAATAACCATCCTTGCACTGTCACTTTAGGTTACTGGTTAGTGTGCATGGTTTAATTTCAACGTGTCCTCCATGACAAAACAGATCACACAGATTACACTGTGTCGGAATTATCACAAGGGACAGATATTTCCCCGTTACCCCAACAAGGTTTAATTTTTGGGACTGTTCCCCGTCTATCACAACTGCTATCGTTTTTCTACTTGTTATAGTGTCTTGAACCGAACAGTATGGATCCTGATCAGACTGCGCGGATGCGCGGGCAGGCTGGTCTGGATCCATGTCTTGGTCGCCAAAACGCATAATGTTGGTTTTGTTCATGAAGGGCCCTCATATTGCTTTACTCAAAAAACCTTTAGGCGGAAAAAAAAATTTTAAGAAACTGTCCAAAACCGTCGTAAGCTTATGTCCTTTACTTTCTCATTGTGCGGAATCACGTTGTACATTTATGAAGTTTTAAAAAAACTACAACTGGTAAATTCATACTCGAATATTTTCAAAAAGCTGTATACATGTATGCGTGCGTGCGTGTGTGTGTCTGTGTGTTTTCTGGGTTTTCTTGTGTTTTGTCTTTTTTAAATCTTAAGCCATATCAGAGACAGATTGAACAAGACATTACACAGTTATTTAACTAGAAAACAGAATGAAACGATCCCTAACAAAATAGTTTCTTCCTTAGCAATTATTCCGCTAAATTCATGTACAGTATATAGAACGCAGGGGGATCTACACTGGGCCATATAAAAGCACATCAGTGCACTGGGTAATGCAAGTGAAGGTGTCCTTGTTTTGGAAGGTATTGATCAAGCTACAATAAGTTCAATATTTATTTTAATCTATTCTGTCTCATCAACAAAAATGTCGACAAACTATACATATATTGAGCACAAGATTATAAATCAAAATTATTAGCATTTATTAGCATGCATTTTATTTGATATTTTACATTAAGTTAACTTTATTATAACATATTCAAATTACAATGAAATATATCAATTGATCGAAAGGGAAACCTACATAATCGGCGAGCTGAACCCCAACTTATTTATAATAATTGTAACTCTGTTCATCTTTTGTCTACGAAAACAAACAGAAATGAACTTTTGATAGCATTTAAATCAATATTATAAAAACGAAGAAGTTTATATGAAAAACAAACAACAAAAAGCATGTCATTTGAAAAACACTGTATTCGTGTATAGAAAAACAAATATAATGCATTCAAAAAAGAAATCGATTCTCAAGATTTCAACAGACAATAACATTGTCTACAGACTAAATCACACCAATAAACAAGAACTCAAAAAGTGGTTAACATCAACGGTGTACTTTTAGTAAGTTATTTCAATATTACAAGATGACACATGCACGTGCAAGTTCTGTTATATAAGATATAAATGTGTAAAGAAAATTGTTTAATATCCAACGCTTCAGCATGACAAAATATTAATGCATATAGAAAAATCATGCAAGACATAATATTTCCACAATAAGGTAAATAATAATGATAATTATGAGCACAATTTTGCCAGTGACAATACATACACATAAATAAAAATCAAATAAATTTTGGACACATTAAAGTGATATTATGCCCATCTGAGTGAAAATGATGAGTGTACAGGTTAGTTGAAAATAACTTTAATTTTGTCATGGTAAGTTTTAATTTATATAAATAGAAATTTATATAAATAGACTTCTGATGTTACCTGATAAAGCATGAAGCAGTCTTTATATTCAGACAGTTTTTATATTTTATCTTAAACACTGCCGTTTATCAATATTTGGTCAATTAATATAATAAAAGTCAATCTATTGAAATATGTATATATTTAAGCTCAACTTGTCATGAAACATAAACTGGCAAAAAACACATTTATACATAAATATACGCTTAAAGATATGAGCACAGTATTCATGTCATATGAAAAATACATTTTTTTTATCAGATTAACATGGACTGTATAACTGCAGTTATAAAATATGTGGTATAAAAGACCCCCAAAAACAGACACATTATAACACTGGTTTTCTTAACAATTACGAGGAAGTCACAACAAGCAGCTATTGAACAAGGAATACATAAAACTTGTATAGAAAATGAGAAATTGCAAAGATTATATTGTGTTGAATCAATTTTTTCATTTTGTTTCTCTCAAGTTTTTTCTTCTGTTTCTTCTTTGTGATTTCCATCGCATTTTTTAAAGAAATGATAACTGATTCATATGATCAGTATTTTTAGTCTTACTGTTTTAAGTGATTAATCAACGTTCGTTATTATTGTAAAAACACTCATCTATAATATATTTGTTTCCTGAAAATATCCTTGTATATTTCATTCATTGCCTAAACTGGTTGTATAGAAGTAGACAACCTGCTGCCAGCACTGTATATCGTATTTGTATCCTCAGTTCCAGTTGTTTCAGTCTGAAATTGAGCATTATCATAAACATTGAGAAACCAAACAATCTATTTAATGATGGGTCATAACTCAGTGTCTGATAAACTTTCACATAATTCATTATTTCTTATTCAATTTGAAATACAAGGAAGGGATATGTCTATGTTCTATTTTTTTTTGTGAAAGGCACTATGTAAAGTGCTAAGGGTACGTTTTATATGCTTTTAACTGATGTGTGATAATTATCTTCACGTTCATTTTACATTTTCAAACATTTAAAGTAAAAATTAAATCATTTGAAAAAACTGTACAAAACTCTATTTACTTCGTCCTGCCTGTCGCTTTCTAATGATACCGGAACCGGTTGAACCTGTCTGTAAGTAACACCACTTAAGTCTTCGCTTTCATATAATGGGGGTGAATCCATGTTACTAGTTCCATTCGCAACTTGACTTTCTTTTCCAGATTTACAATCAACAAAGAGAGAGTGTTTTTTCGAGTCTGGTTTATCAGATATGTGTTCCTGCTCAAACTTTTCTGATGATTTTTCTTCCATATCAGTTGTGCCTGAATTAGTTTGGCTGTGAATTGATCTTATTTCATCTCTCTGAAATGACGAATCGGTTGCTTGGCTGATATCCTCTGTCACACCATTGATGGCAGCCGCCACAATAATGGTTTTTAACAATTTTTGGTTCTCTGTGGAAGCTTTATGAATTCCATCCTCTCCTTCTTGACAAGAGGACAATTTTTCAATCCGTTTACTGCGAAAAGAAAAAAAACATATTTTGCACAACATTGTCATTTATTGCATAATCAAAGAACTGTTGAAATCTGTCCAACAAATCATATTTGTTTAAAAGTAAAATGTATTTGTACAAGTCTAATACAAAACGATTCAAAGAAAAGTTATCGCTTAAGGTTAATATTACCTCACCGCCAAATTATATAAAAATTTATATGGAAGAAAGTTTTGGACAGTTGGTTCTTAATTAAAAACAGATGCTGAGCATTCACAAAATCTTTTTAAGTCCCTATAATTTCAGATAGAAGAAATTTTTTTTACCTCCCCCAAACTGGCATGGGTTGCTAGGGATAAAACATGATATATACTTGGTGTGGTGTTACAATATCCCTCACTCCCAACCAGAGTTATTCTATATTTATTAAGAATGAATTTGATTTTGACCATTTTGAGCCTAAAAACAATCCAACATTATGTCTTTTTATAATTCGTTATGCACTACGTTTGATAGAAGATCATATTTCTCAATTTAGTTTTCGTCCCTAATCCATTCTTCTGTTTTTCTAATTTTAGTATCAGTGACTTTGAATTTGATCCGTAAAGGTGGTTAAAACAGTGCTACTTAGGGAATTTACCACATAAGCATGTGATATATAATTTATGCACAATATCGCATTCCTAACTTTAGTTATCATCAAGAAATCTTTAACAGACATATCGACCGACAAACACACTCAAAACTTTATTTCTAATGGTATAAATACTATAAACATTGTTTACAATCAGAAAACGTATTAATATTATCACAGTTTAACAACTTCAAGGTTAGTGTATAACAAAGTGGAAATTGCATAAATGTGACTTTGAAGACAAAATTTTCCTGTAAGTGATTGAAACAAACATTTATATACTGCTTAACATTTTACTGAAAGCAGATAAAGTGTGTTGTAAGCAAAAACATACTCGTATTTTAGTACACGGTTTTTATTGTATATCTTTTCAAGTGAATTGTTTAAACGTGTTCTGAACAATCTTGATAATTTGAAGAAGACAAGAACCCGGTTTGAACCGGGTGATGCTTCCCGAATAAGTTTTGAACACAGAAAAGTACACCTCTTATAGTTTCAGAGTTATGTCAATGGACAAAGTTCAAAGTGCAATAGATACCAAAATTAGGCAATGCAGAGTTACTGTTCTTTGCACTGGTAAGGTAGTTACACAGTAATGTCCCGGAACAAAGTTCACAGTGTTAAATTGAACTAGAACCCCGAGATTTGGATGTGTCGACTTGTGGACAGTATAGCTGTCACTTTAATAATGTACTTTCGTATTAAATATGGGTTATTTAAACTTTGCTCTTACAATGAACATGTACCTTTAACTTAAGTTTTTGTGCACTGTACTTTTTCTCAAAGAGATCTATCATCCTATGAATTTTCAAGTCAATAGCTTTTAAAATAAATGAGAATTGGCCGAACAAATTTAAAGTATCATAATTAACAAAGGGCAATAGCTCTAAAATCGCGAAGTACAGATTCTTATGCACTGCACTTTTCTTCAATGAGATCTATCATCTTATGAAGTCTCAAGTCCATAGCTTTTATAGTTTAGGTTACATTGCCTGACTAAATTAAAGTAAGAAAATTAATAAAGGACAAAAGCTTTAAAGTCATTGACTACAGAGTATCAGTGTTTAAGCACTGCGCTTCATCTCAATGAGATCTATCATCCTATGATGTTTTATGTCCATAGCTTTTATAGTTAAGGAGAAATGGCCTGGACAAAAAATGAAGTATGGAAATTAACAAAAAGGGCAATTACTCAAAAAATACGAAGTGCAAAGTAATGCTTCTAGTGCACTGAACTTTTTCTTAATGAGATCTTTCATCCTATGAAGTTTCAATTCTATAGCTTTAATAGTTTAAGAGAAATGGTCCGTTTAAAAATGAAATATGAAACTTAAAAAAGGGCAATAACCAAAACATTAAGAAGTTCAAAGTAACAATTCTTGCGCACTGCACTTTGAGCCATTAACAGAAGCATGCATGCCAAATTTGGAGTCAATCTGATTAATAATGAGTTATACTGAGGACAATTGTAAGGGGATGCCGACGACAAAAGTAACACCTTTATGTCTTTTCCAAGGTGACACAAAAAGGGCACTAACTCTATAAATAGGCAGGGCAGAGTTACGGCCTTTTTTGCACTGCACTTCTATTTAATGAGAGATTATAAAGTCTGTTGTTGATACCTTTTATTGTTTCCGGATAAAGTTCAAAGTGTAAAGAAGGCAATTGGTCTAAAATTAGCTAAGGGACAAGATTTTTCTAAAAAGGGAGATAATTAAAAAACAAGGCAAATCACAGTTATGGTTCTTTTGTATTGCACATTTATCCAATGACATCTCTCTATCTACAAAGATACATGTTGATATCTGTTATAATTTAAGAGAAATTTTCCGGACAAAGTTCAAAGTGTAAAATGAACAAAGGGAAACAACTCCCAAATAAGGAATGGCAGAGATATGATTCTTGTGCACTGCATATCTTCCCATTTAGATCTATTTACCTACAGAGTTTTATGTTGATATCTCTTATACTCTAAGGTGGAAAAACTTTGCATACTGAGCTTACTTGTGACCCTTTATATATTTTATAGTTTTAAGTGAATATCTGTTCTAGTTTCAGAAACATTTCAGTATTAATGGTTATATCCGAACATTTTCTAAGCCTAAAAGTGGCATAAATTGTGTCATTATTCAATGGAATTGTAGAATTTTCGTCATCTGAGCTTGCTTGTAACCATTCATATAAATCTTAAGTTTCAAGTAAATATCTATTCTGGTTTAAAAGAAATATTATAGTAAATAGATTTAAAGATATAAATATGGACTTAACCTTGTCCAAATACAATACAAAGTTATCCCCCTCACTTTCTTTAGTTATGAAACTTGACCTGCATATCTTATTTGCGACACATCGTATATATTTGAAGTTTCAAATGATTATCTGTTATAGTTTCAGAAATATTCAAGTACATGCTAACATTTCAGAACATTTTTAAGTCAAATTTTTGACCTCAAGTGTGACCTTGACCTTAAGCTGGCACAAGGGTAAGATGGGTTCTGCAAATTGCCCAGTTGGGTGAACATTTGAGTCAAGTTTGAAAAAAATCCTTCCATTAGTATAAAATTTATAGAGCGGACACGACATATTGTCTAGTATTGATTGTATGTAAATTTAAAGACTTTAAAGGGCATAACTTTGTCAAAATGCAATACAGAGTTACGACACTTGACCTGCATATCCTATTGTCACATCTCATTTATCTTTTAAGTTTCAAGCAAATACCTGTGCAAGTTTCAGAAATATTCAAGTATATGTTAAAATTTAAGAATTTTTTCTAAGTCAATTTTTGACCTTCAAGTGTGACCTTGACCTTAAGCTGGCACAAAGGTTACATAAGTTTTGTACATAACCTTGTTGAGGTGAACATTTCAGAAAACATTTGATTTATAGAGATTTATAGAGCGGACACGACATATTGTCTAATATTTGATTGTATGTAAATTTGAAGACTTAAAAAGGGGCATTACTTTGTTAAAATGCAAGTTATAAGTTATAAAACCTGACCTGCAAATTTTAATGGTGACACTTCATAAATAATTAAAGTTTCAAGCAAATACCTTTTCTAGTTTCAGAAATATTCAAATACATATTAAAATTTAAGAATGTTTTCTAAGTCAATATTTGGCCTTCAAGTGTGACCTTGACCTTAAGCTGGAAAAATGGTAACATAGATTCTGCACATCCCCTTGTTCAGGTGAACATTTGAGCCAAGATTGTAGAAAATCTTTCAATTAGAGTAGGACTACAGAGCAGACACGAAAAACTGTCAAATATTTGATTTTTTGATATTTGAACTTCAATTGTGATCTTGACCTTGAGCTGACACATGGGCAACATGGGTTCTGCACATCCCCTTGTTGAACATTTGAGCCAAGTTTGAAGAAAATCCTTCAATTGGTATAGGGTTTATAGAGCGGACACGATAATGGAGACGGACGGACCGATAGACGCGACATAGCGAATTCATTATAGCTCCCCGCCCCCCGCTCCCCACATTTTGTGGTGCAGGTATAATTATCTCCAAGGGTTTTCAAGTTATGCTCCTACAAGACAACGGACGGACAGATGGACAAGAGGCAACTCTGTGTTCTCTCTACGGGGAGCATAAAAAAGAATGTGACTCCCTATGATAGCCAATTGAGCACTTGTATTGAGGGGTGAATGGTCAGTTTGTTCCTTATATTTCACGGTTACTTTGTAGCATGTTGCAACTACTGAGTAGCTGTCGACAAATTAGCATTAACAGGTATACGGAGTTGTCCAGGCATAATTTTTTAAAAACATGAATATTAAAAAGAAACTTCATAGAACATAAAAATGCCGGTCATTGCACATCTTGACAGGGTACTGACCATTCCTCTAAACTAAAACTAAACGGACAAACAGACAACGGAGAAGTGGTTTCTATATGTAGCCCTACTCTGTATTAGGCGATAAACGATAACGATAAACATACTCGTAACTTACATGTCATGAAATCAACATGTAATTTTGTGTAAGCTGAAAAATATATATGAATTTTGACAATCTGCTTTCATATGTTAAACATAAGATATACCGGTCAAAAAGCTTTTATTTTTATTTTCATCATAAGGAGAGGCCTTTTTTTGCTTTTTATATGAAAATTTGAAAGTATTTCATTAAGGAATTTTCAATTTAAAATAAATCAATTTGAATGTGCTATTTCCACATTTAAATTGATTAAGCAAGCGGGCAATGATGGCCCTAATATCGCTCATCTGTTTATAAAAAGACTCAATCCCCATTTTATTTTGGCTGTGTGACCTAGATTTTGACAAATGATGACCTATATTCGAAACTAGAATTCATCAAAACAACCGTCCTGACCACTTTCCAGGATATTTGGACTGCAAAAGTAGCCCCTAGAGTGTTAACAAGGTGTTTTCGTATACATGCTGTGTGACCAGGTTTTTGACCCGAGATGACACATATGTAAACTTGACCTAGAAGTTATCAAAACAACCTTCCTGACCAATTTCCAGGATATTAAGATGAAAACTGCAGCCACTAGAGTGTTAACAAGGTTTTTCTTTATTTTGGCTGTGTGACCTAGTTTTTTACCGAGATGACCCACATTTAAACTTGACCCAGAAATCATTAAAACAACCTTCCTGACCAATTTTCAGGATATGTGGGTCAAAACTACAGCCACTAGAGTGTTAGAAAGATTTTTCTATGTTTAGCTCCTGTGACCTAGGTTTTTACCAGAGATGACTTATATTCAAAACTTGACCTAGGAATCATCAAAAAAAAACTTTCTGACCAATTCACAGGATAGTTTGACTAAAACATTAGCCCGTAATGTGTTAACCAGCTTTTTCTATATTTAAGCTGTTTGACCTAGTTTTTGCCTCGACATGACCCATATTTGAACTTCACCTAGAACTCATCAAAACAACCGTTCTGACCAATTTCATGATATTTTGTATCAAAACTGCAGTCACTAGAGTGTTTATAAGATTTTTTTATCTTTAGCTTCTGCGACATAGTTTTTGACCGGACATGACCCATGTTTGTACCTGACCTAGAGATCATCAAAACAACCTTCCAGCTCAATTTCTAGGATATTTTGATCAAAACTGCAAGCACTAGGGTGTTAACAAAAATTTTCTATTTTTAGCTCCTGTGGCATATTTTTTAACCCGAGATGACCCATATTCAAATTTGACCTGTATTTTATTTTTAAAAAATATTCTGACAGTTTGATTATGATCCCCTCAAAACTGTGACTGCTAGAGTGTGAAACAACCCAAATGTTGACAACGCATGACACCGGATGCAAAACACTATATCTTACCGTGACCACTTTGTTGTCAGGTGAGCTAAAATAGCTGAAAAGCTCTGTTTTTTATAGGGAAGGGGCAAAACATTTTATACAAATTGTAATTTTGGCTAAAGCTTAATATTTGAAATGTATCAAACTTTACCTTCTTCCAACACACAGTTTGACGCCAGCACCACCTGCTACCATTACTATCGACAATGAAACTGAAATTACTATGATCACCACAACCCAGGGTATACCACCAACATCTACAATATCATGCATGCATATATATAGTGTTCAAATAATTGTAAAAGTATTTATAAAGAAATTCTACAACCATGCATGCATATATATATAGTGTTAATGTATATATGTACAAAGAAATACATTGTACATACGCCATGCTTAAAACAACCATAAACAAAAGCCTAGACATGTATAATATGCAAAAATCATTTCAACCAATAACAAAACAAGCATTTAGTGGAATAAGATTATAATTTTAAAAGAAATTATACTTTCGATCTCTTCTATAAAAGTACTATTAAAAAACTATACAAAGACTCATAAGTCACATATGCCATTGAAAAACATTTAACAACTTTGTAGATTTGCCCAGCGTTTAATTTAAATAAAAGTATTGTACTTATGAACAGTAAATGTTTCTTTTAATCTTAATCATCACTATTAGCTTTTCAAATATGCAATACAAATTTTCTTCTTCTTCATGCCAAAACATGCCCCATTGGTAAATGACAAAAGATGTTTATTTTAGTGTATAAATAAGTCAGGCTACAAAGATGTTAAGTCGGTCACGTACACGAAACATTGATTGCCAATAAGTAAATTTGTTTTTACATTGAAGAAGTCAAGGTCATTTAATGCAATGTTTTATAAAAAAAATAATTTTCATAAAATCAAATTAATCACTGGGTTTTTTCTCTCTAGAATTGTGAATAAGTTAAGCAAAGGAATTAAACTACTTTAATAGGACAAAACAAATTAACATGAAGAATTGGCTAGGGGACACAAAATGATACCTAACCGATAAAATTGATAAAAGCAAATGCGCTAACTTAAAATGAAAGAAACAGAAATGGCATGCCTACAACAAAAGTAAAATCTATTACCGTAGTAAAGGTTAATATGAACAAGAGGACCAAGATGGCACTTGATCGCTCTCCTGACCCATCGAACTCGTCCGAACAGTTATCTAGACAAGCATTCTGACCAAGTTTCATGACAGGTGAATAAAAAATGTGGCCACTAGAGTGTTAACAATGATTTTTATTATTTTCATAAAATATGCTTTTCTAGTTGACAGCTCGGATGAGTTCGAACATGGGTCATTTCAGATGAAAATCTAGGTCACCGAAACTAAAAATAGAAAAACCTTGTTAACACCCTAGCGGTCACATTTTGCCCCAATCATTATCAAACTTGGTCAGGATGCTTGTCTAGGTCTGAAACAGTTTGATGATGATTTAGTCAAAAATGTGACCGCTAGATTGTAACAGTTTACAAGGTTTTTTATTTTTAGCTCCTGTGACCTAGTTTTTCATCTGAGATGACCCAAGTTCAAACTCCTCCGAGCTATCATCTAGATAAGCATCCTCACAAAGTTTGATGATGATTGAGGCAAAAATGTGACCGCTAGGGTGTTAACAACGTTTTTCTATTTTAGCTCATGTGACCTAGTTTTTCATCTGAGATGACCCATGTTCGAACTAATCCGAGTTATCAACGAGATAAGCATCCTGACAAAGTTTGATGATGATTGAGGCAAAAATGTGACCGCTTGAGTGTTAACGAACAAGTGTGGACGGACGACGGACGTTCAACGATCCTAAAAGCTCACTCTGATCTAGCTCAGGTGAGCTAAAATCAAGCGTAATCAAAATAGAGTAAACTAGTACGACCTTTGCGAATGAACTTAGTGTCTGGTAGGATTTCCGGCATGTTGTCGCAAATGGAATCTTGAGTAACGTTACAATTGCTCAGTGTTATATTACACAAAGTACATGGCGCGCAAGCGTCTAATGAGGTCGATTTTGAGTACGTTAATCCATGTTTGCACGGTTCGCATTTGGTGTCCTCGTTAGGTGTACCTTTTTTCAAAAGAAAAAGAAATATTTATGTAGGTTTCCAAGATAATTTGAAATATAGTTCTTATAACAAGAGCCACCGCCGGGCGGGGGCAACGCTCGACTTTTTACTTTCTCTAAACGCAAACATAGAAAGGTTTGAACATATCTTAACGTTTCCATTTTATAAATTTAGTTGGTCTGTCTTGTCACATTAGTTTTGTTTATATATTTTGTATATATATATATGAATAGAAACATGACGCAATTTCTAAAAATAGCAACATGACGCAATTTCTAAAAATAGAAACAATGAAGCAATTTCTAAAAATAGAAACAATGACCCAATTTCTATAAATAGCAACAATGATGCAATTTCTAAAATAACAACAATGACGCAATTTCTAAAAATAGCAACAATACGCAATTTCTAACAATGACGCAATTTCTAAAAATAGCAACAATGACGCAATTTCTAAAAATAGAAACAATGACGCAATTTCTAAAAACAGCAACAATGACGCAATTTCTAAAAATAGCAACAATGACGCAATTTCTATAAATAGCAACAATGACGCAATTTCTATAAATAGTAACAATGACGCAATTTCTATAAATAGCAACAATGACGCAATTTCTAAAAAATAGCAACAATGACGCAATTTCTAAAAATAGCAACAATGACGCAATTTCTAAAAATAGAAACTATGACGCAATTTCTAAAAATAGAAGCAATGACGCAATTTCTAAAAATAGAAACAATGACGCAATTTCTAAAAATAGCAACAATGACGCAATTTCTAAAAATAGAAACAATGACGCAATTTCTAAAAATAGAAATAATGATGCAATTTCTAAAATTAGAAACAATGACGCAATTCTATAAATAGAAACAATGACGGAATTCTTGTTGTTCTTGTTGTTGTTGTTGTAAATATATATATTTGCACACACACACACACACCAATAAATATATAATTATGGTCATTTAATGCACAAATCTGAGAAAATTCAGTAATTTAACCTTCAAAGTCAAGGTCATTAAAGAGCCCAAGCAAATTTGGGTTTGATAAACAACGAGGTCTGGTCCTTAAGAATGTTCTGTTATAATATGAAGTTGATCCCTTCAATAATAGCAAAGTTACAGTCAGTTACCGCCAAAACAATGAAAATTTCAATAATTTGACCTTCAAAGACAATGTCATTAATGAGTGAAGGTCAAGGTCTTTCGGTATATTTTTAACAGTTATCTTTGAAGATTATTATGTTCAAGTTTGAAGATAATCCATTCAAAAATAACAAAGTTACAGCCAATAATAGCCAAAAAAATGAAAATTTCAATAATTTGACCTTCAAAGTCAAGGTCATTTATGAGTGAAGGTCAAGGTCTGGCGGGTTATTTTTAAGGGATATCCTTGAAGGTTATTATGTTCAAGTTTGAAGACAATACATTCAAAAATAACAAAGTTACAGCCAATAACAGCATGAACAAGCAAAAATTGGACTTTTAAACTTGAAGGTCAAGGTCATTTATGGATGAAGGTCAAGGTTAGTGTGGTCTACTGAAAGGTCTTGTCCCAAGGGTTGTTGTGGCCAAGTATGAAGACAATACACCAAGAAATAAAAAAAGTTATGATCCAGGTACAAGTTTGCGGACGGGAACGGCAACGGCAACGCCGACCTGACTATAACAATACCTCTACTTTTTTTTTTTCAAAAAAAAAAAGTCGAGCTAATAAATAGTCCGGTATTGCCTAAACATGTTTATACTAGATTACGACAGACTCAACAATGAACCTATCTTTTTGTTTCAAATAATCAAAGATTCAATATCATGATTAAAATTACATGTATTCAGATCAAAGAATCAAATCTGTAAATGATGACTATGTTTAGCAATAATCATTAAGAGGTGTGTCAAAGACAGCTTTTAAATTGGTTGCCTCACGATTTCATGAGGCGATTAAAACCAATCAAAACATTTGTTCTATACGACGTTTAGTACATAAGTATTGCGGTGGAATAATTTAGTTTTAGGAGGATTGTTTTGCCTCCTTTTATATTGGCAAGACACGTGAAACAGGTTTACATCGTGGGCGCTGTTATTTTGTTTCTGATAGATGTCGAAGAATATGAATTCCTCTAAACACGATTTCATTGGTAGATATTTTACGCACCTGTTGCTGTATATTGATGCAATTTGATTCATTTTACCCACGGTTGATCCCATGTTGAGTTACATGTTAATCAACCGTAGGTATCAGACGATGGTATGCTCTGAGCAATATGCGGTGGATATTTTATCATCTCTAGTGACCTTGACCTCGCAAATATTAACCTAAATTATACGTGTCACACTAGTAGCCATGATATCATTTGTTTTACAATCCATCCATAAATGATGACTAAATGGTCCCCATACACAAACTTTGACCTCCCTATGTGACCTTGACTTCGGTTGCAGGGACCTGGATTATGTGCATAATACACATTTTCATATTTTATCTGAACTTTGACCCCTATGTGTGACCTTGACCTTGGCCACAGTAACTTGAATTTTGCTTCTGACACTTTTTTTTACGATGGTTAACATTTGTGCCAAGTTATATTGAAATCCCTTTATGCATATAGAACTTTTGCCCGAGGCAAGCTTTTTTCAATGACCTCTAAGTGTGACATTGACCTTTGACCTAGAGACCAGGGCTGCGTTTCATGGAGAGTCCTTAGTCTTAAGTTTGTCTTAAGTCAAAGATTGTCACAATTTTGCGTTTCAAAGAAAGTCTTAAAAAAGGTCCTAACTTATGACTCCTATATTTATGACCAAAAACAGTCCTAAGTCTAGGAGTGTTTAAAAGGTATCCTAAGATTGTCCTAAGTCAAAACCACTCCAAAATCAAACAATGTTTTGTTGAATTTTGTTTTGAAAACTATCTAGAATGATAGATAATGGTCGAACTAAGAAAATAAATCCGAACACCAATATCTTTAATTCAGTCATTAACGCTGTACAGACATTTAAAGGGTTGTTTACATGACGTCACAATGTAGCGCCAAATATCGCGTGCAAAACAAGACGCGTCTATAAATAATAATATGACTGCGCGCTGTACAATTGCAGTTGCGTAGCAAGCAAAGGGGTTGGAAACTTTTTTTTTACTATAAAATTAAATAAAATGGTTATTTTATCGTTTATCTTGAAATATGGTATATATTTTCACTCAACATGAAAAGAAGGCAATGCATTACTTTTTATACTTGCTATAACAAATTACAAAGTAAATCGAATCCGGGATTATGCGCGTGCCATTTTGTTTTGTAACTTTTCAGGAGAGCGAACTGGTCATACGTCTTAAGTTTAAGACAAAAGATAGGACAGTTACGTGAAACGGTCTTAAGTGCAAAAACTTTTTCTCCTAAAGTTGGTCACAAGTCCTAGAAATTAGGATTTACTTAGGACTCTCTATGAAACGCAGCCCTGGTTTATATGCATGAAACTGCTTCTTATTGTGGTGAACATTTCTATGAAGTCTCATTAGAATCCCTCTATATGTGTAAGAGATATGATCTGGGCAAAATTATGGACGCAGCCCATCCGCCCAACCATTCGAACTTCCGCCCGCTAGGAGGAACTTTTATACGACCCGTTTTTTGGCGTATAAAAAGGATTAACTGGACACTTTACCTTTTGTCTTTAATCCTTCTCCGGGGATGCATTTGCTATGTCTTGTACAAAATCGATGTGGGTCCTTTTTCCAATAGTAACCATCTTTGCACTGGCACTTTAGGTTACTGGTTGATGTGCATGCTTTAATTTCAATCTGTCTTCCATGACAAAACTGATCACACTTCTTACACTGTGTTGAATTATCACATGTGGGCATATAATACCCGTATCTACAAGGTTTACATCTAAATTGTTCTCCGTCTATGTCACAATCCGAAACTTTGTGATACCCTACACAGCATGGGTAACACCGGTGACCATTTTTAGCAAGATATGTTTCATTACATGGTACACTTGCACCAAAAAAAGTGTTCAGACAAGTAACAAGTATGATTGGCCCTAAATAGTCCAACCCCATATTATTTGCATGACAATAGTACTGATAAAACTTTCATGGTACATACTAAATGAAACGTAATGATTTTAAATGAACTTCATTTAATTCTGTCCTTTTGGTTGCTTTTTCTGTATATATTTTCTTTCTTCTTTTTTTGTCACTGGATAAGAGAATAACACCAGAAATGTGAAAAAAAATAACAATTACAAAATATACAGTTTTACATTGTATATATTTATAGGGCGTATTTCAACTTATAAGTAAAACGTAGTAATACAATGTACTAAATTATAATTAGATATTATAAAATACACATCTACCACACTGCAGGACATTGACTTATAAAAATCCACAGACGCTTGGGGGTCAGATCCTTCCCCCACCCCTAACGTGAAACACCCTGAAAACACTCTATCAAAAACATTTTAATATTTAAACACAAATATACAACAATAAAACTGGTTTTAAAACAATTTTACATAATTATATGAAAAATAACGTATACCATCAAGTCTCGATGGTAACAGGTATTTTACGCCTCCGCCATGTAATGGCCGGGACATACAGTGTTACCCTGTTCCGTCATTCCGTCCTTCCGTCCTTCCGTCATTCTGTCATTCCGTCATCATCAGTTTTCGTTCATTATTTACAGAACGGTTGCATACATTCAACTCAAATTTGACATATGGATATATCATGAAAAATACAGGTCAAGTTTGAATTTGGTCATGGTTCGATGATTTTTGGTAGAGTTATGCCCCTCTTACTTTGAAAATAATATGAAATTTTCAAATTGCGTTCATTATCTCCCCAACGGTACAACACACTCAACTCAAAATTGACATATGTATATGTTTTTGGAATGCCCAGGTCAAGTTCGAATTTGGTCATGGTTCAATGAATTTTTGGCAGAGTAATGCCCCTTTCACTTCGAAAATAGTATTAAATTAACAGTTTCTGTTCATTATCTATATGTACCCAACAGTGTTACCTTTTCAACTCAAATTTGACATATGGATATGTCAAAGGAATGGGCAGGTCAAGTTGGAATTTGGTCATGGTTTGATGATTTTTGGCAGAGTTATGTTCCTTTCACTTTGAAAATAATTTAGATACATCTTAGGAACAAGTACAAATATTGCTGCAATGCAGCAATTGAGAAGCTCCGCGCAAAAAAAAATGTGCTCATTACAGATACCTTACCAAATTATTCCTACGCACAGGTCATGTTATATTCAGATTAAGTACTATTGTAGATATTTTCCGAATGTTTTGTAAACCATGTTTTGCATTATACTTATCTTATGCACTGTCCATAATTAAAAAGAGGGGAAAGATATTTAATATAAAAATGCTTTCACTGATGCCTACCTGGCAAGGAAAGTAATTCCATTGAATACAAACAAGACTTACAAGACTTGTAAATGTTATGTGACATGACTGTACTGTGTTCTGTTTGTGTCACTACTGTAGTCAGTAACATAAGATGATGAAAATATCAAAGTCTGTTTTTTTTTATTATTATAATTGTAACAAATATACAAATAGTAACAAAAGGGACTACTATTATGATTTAGTGTCCAACTTTATTAGTCATCCAATGAAAACGCTGTATTTCTGTGCGTTAATTTTCATAGAAGAACAAAAGTCGATGCTATGTATTTATTAGTGTTCATACAGAAATTAGAAACTTCGACGGGAGCGATAGCGACAGGAGAATGTTTCTAATTTCTGTAGAATATATATTTTTGTTGAATTGCTTTAAACCCATTCATAAAAAACATTACACTTCATGTTCAAACTGCAGATCAAAGTTTCTGTTGTTATCATGATATCTATCTATTGCCTATGCTTAATAAGGGTCCATCCACTCGTAAGGCCACAAAATGCAGCTTTCGCTGTCGAATACGGACCCCGGACATGTCACCAGTCGAACCCTTATTTTTTTTTCTTTTTCACAAAGTGGTATGCTATTCCAATGACGCATGTATGTAGTTAAAGCTTAATGAGGGTCCATCCGCCCTCTCGGGCACAAAATGCAGCTTTCGCTGTCGAGTACGGACCCCGGACATGTCACAAGTCATGTCCTTAAAGAGTTAATTTTGAAGCACAAAATGGTGATAATTTACCTCCATGCAATTTCCACGGAGTATTAGCCAAAGATATGAATTTTGAGCCAAAAAGTAGGTCACTGTACGGCGGTCAATGAGAACCTAAATGTACAGTAACCTGTGACAATAGGAAAGGTGTTTAGCCCTGAAAAGGGCTGTTTGTGCCAGCTATAGGCCTGCCCTTCAAGCCGTCTAACCGTGCTAGGGGCTCACGCACCCTAGCACACCATCCTCGTCGACCCAAGCGTCTACTTTGTAGGGCCACTCCCCTCGGCATTAGTCAGGACACCGGCAGCTAACTGCATGAAGTCTATCTAGGTCGTTCCGCCTTAAACGTTACCCCGAGTAGAAGAAAACATGCGAATTTGCCGCCTTAAAAATTTCATAAATATAAATTAAAAATAATTATCAAAAGCAAAATTGTTAAAGTCTTATGTCTGAAATCTTCTTTATATTGACAAATTCATTCACTAAAAGTATACTTGATATGCTGTGTGTAAATGTTATTCAAAATGTAACAAATTATAATTTCATGTACAACTAAAAAAGGGAAATAACAAATTTATAACCTAAGTGTCAAAAATCAGAACATTTATAGCTATTTATAGCTTTCTAATTCATGTACAGCAGAACTGCTTTCCGGTTCTCATTCATTAATATGACATGCTGCGAATCACCGATAGAAATCGAAAGGAGTTCTTGAATGCGGATTTACTTTTAGCTGTAAATCGAAAGGATTTATTGATCAAATCCGGGCCCATGGACAAAAAATATAGTAAACACAAATAGCTCCGCGCCTGTGGGCGCGGAGCAATAAGCAGTATAAGTTTGAATTTGGTCGTGGTTCAATGATTTTGGACAAACTTATCTTTCCTGAATGTTGGAAAAATTTTGAACTTTCAGTTTCAGCACTCATACTTTTGTGGAAATGTGTGTAGCCATTATTTTGGCTACAAATATGCAATATGCTATTTTTAAAAGGTTAAGACTGAATAATTTCAGTGCCTTGAACATTGTATGAAAATGGTTTGTGTTAACATTGAAAAGTTTTTAGGGCTTTGAACTTAAAATGAAAAAAATAATTTGTGCAAACAAATTTGGAACTATATATTATAACATCTGAAATTTTGGTTGCATGCGGGGGCATCCGTGGCATGATGACACATTTCTAGTTTCATATATGTAGTACACGATATAACGCTTATTGAGTTTGGCACATTGACAAAGAATGTTAATATTTCGACTGTAAAAACTCAATTTTTAGATACTTAAATTTTATGAAAAACTTATAATTTCTATCACATTTATATCCAACATTTTATTCATAAATGATATTAATTTTATTCAACGATTAAGATTTCTTTAAACCAGAGAGAATGCGGACGAAACCTTTTAATATATCATGATAAAAATTTTGTTAAAAAGACAAAATTACACAATATGTTACAAACCTTTATTTCTATATTCATAAAGAATTACCTTCTCTTTGATTCTAATACTAATTCCAATTCATTTTAAAACTGAAATAGCACTATTTGTTTGGGTATTTTTTATATATACAAATATCCAAAATCACACACAAAAATATAAACATAATAACATAAACGTTCCTAATTAACTGAAAGCTTATTCAATGAATGTAGTACACTCGAATATTTCTCAAACTATTTATAGCGCTGTTACAGATCTATCTATCTAGATTTTATTGTCTTAAGAAAATAGGGTTTAGTTTAAACTTGTAAAGCTGCTTTGAAGAAATGTATTCGGTTAACTTGGCAGATATTGGAGCTTCAGATGTATTTCATATGAAGAAGTTATAAATAAACTAAAAGGGAATAAAAGAACATTCAAATGAGTTTCGGTTTCGGTGTTTTTTAAGAAAAATTGTATAAGATATTGTTATCAAACATATGCGATGTTTTGTTATCTTTATTTAAAAAGGAAGTTAAATAGATCAACTAATGAAGATTTTTTTTTTTTGAGGTTCAAACTTTTTATTGATTTCACGAATTTGTATGTATTAAGTACGTTTTGTATTTGTCGTTATATTAAAATGTTTTTGTAAATTAGGTATATGTAAAAGTTACTTAAATTACGATTTTCATAATTGTACGTAATTAACTATGTCATGGTTCTAAAACGTCCCGGTTGAATTGTATTTATACAATTTCTAGCTGGAAACAAACAACCACGGTCGCGTGTCAATCAGTTTGACACTTACCGCCTTGCCAATCCAAAAGGAAGAGTACAATACGAATTGTGTAATATTACGTAATACAGGAGTAATACAATTTAATATTAACACCCTGCTGTTTAAATTTAAATTTCGGATTAAAAAGTCGTCTAATGGTACCTTAAACAGACGTCTTTTGTATGCGCCTTTGACCATTGGATTATTAGTCCTGCATATTTATAATATCTGTTATAAATATCAATTGACGTTTTAAGTACTTACCGCTTTAAGTCATCCCAAAATTACTGTTTTCTGGTTGATATAACATGGAATCACGACTATTAAAGTACACTGTTGTCAATTTTATTGCACTTTTGCCCTACACAGAATGCGCATGCGCGAAATGCAACATTGGTTGCTATGGACGAATCGTATTGTAAAAAGGTCTATTGACTATAATCCCGGTATAAATCCTATAAAGAAAATTGAAATAGAACGGATTGAGCCAAATTAAGCAGGTTACAGATCTAAATAGCGTCAATTTATTCAGTATATTTAATGTATCTATTCACGTCAAAGCAAAGACACATGAGGCCATTTGTACTTGGCCAATTAAATGTTACAGGTCACCACCTTAAAATACAAGTAGAACGTACATTTAAATCCTATTATAAAGATTTAACTTCAAAATTTATAAACTGTTATGAAACAATCAACCTAATTATTTTGGTTCCTGGATGAAAATGAACATATTTTTGATATACGATCAATTTCCAATAATTTGTTAGTATACGTCACAAAACTGAAAAAACAGAACGTGGGCTTAACTCGTATATATACTGTATATCACTTCTCCTTTAATGGCGAACATATTTTTGTTCCAATAATTTGTAAGTGTGAGTCACAAAACTGACAATTAAGAGAGCGTGGGCTTAACGCGTTGATAGTAGATAAGTCATCTTCATTTTTTTGAAAAATGTGATATGGTACGTATAATTAGATATAGAATCTAGTTATAATAAATTTTATTGTAGGAATTTATTCAAAATTATTACTGACGGTCCATGTCTTCGTGAAAAACCAATATAGTCATCAAAATATGAATTGGGTTTACAAATTTTATTGTGAATAACTCTATAATTAAGTACTTTATTACGTGGTTTTCTCATGTACATTTTGGGTTTGTCAGTTTTGGTTGGTTGTATTGTTATTACAAATAGTGTTTTACATTGAATGAGTCAGTTATTAAGTATTACAAAGTTTATCTTGAACAAGCAATATGTTATCATATGATTATTATAGTTTATTTACCTACTAGTGTTCTCCGCTGATTAATAAATAATACATTAACCCGAGAAAAACAGTTCAAGTTTAAATACGGTAAGTGTTAAGTATCGATCCAGTGTTCAGGTATGATGTAGTGAACCGGGGCTGTATAGATGTACCTGATGACATTTTTACCTATGTATTCTAATCGAGTTGGGAGGGGAAAATTGAAATCAGTCAGGCGCGACTTGTATTGTAAATAAATACTAAATTGCGTTTTATAAAAAAAATGAAGCTCTCTTAGAAAATATTTGAGTACTCAGGATATAATAGTTAAATGTTCATCAAGCTGTTTACAAAGATATTAAGTTTTCCTTAAGATAAAATAGTTAAAATGTGCAATTAATAATAGTAACACATATTGGATTTTCCATAAATTTAAAAATAGTAACAGTCCGCGGTTTTCTGTCACGAGTACATCATTTAAGCGTTTGCCGATGTGATTTTTATTTGTTTGGGTCGTCAGACCAAACAAATAATGATAGCGAAATTTCAGACCCTGATGCTGTTAATTGCAAATGCCGAAAGTAGTCCACTTTTTAGAAGCGGTTACTTCCCTTTCCCTTTCCCATCCCTTCCCAAAATTAATTGTTTTAGGTCTCGTGCAAAAAATTGCTCTTTGGTAAAATATTTCATATATTTGAAGGATATGTTAGTCATTAACTGCGATTTATGAAGTCCTTAATGGATTTTGCAAATTCCTAATAATAAATTAGTTCTCCTCATTATGCCTATTTTAACAAAGTTCTAATCTATTCAAAATTACAGAATTACTTTTGATCAAACACATTGGACCAGTAATCTTAGTATTAGTATCAATACCCACCTTGTATTACCTATTTTTCGCTTAAAATGTTTTTGTTATCATACATATGATAAGCTTATTCTAATTTTAAACAAAAACTGTTTTACAGTTTTCAATCTTCATCAGATGTGCATCAAAGGAACACTTTTAATAACATCAATTCCATGCGATTGTACATTACGAAAAAATAAAGAATAACACTTTTTCTATGAGCTCAACAGTGAGTGAAATAACAGATAAGGCTTACGAATTAAATGTTTTCGTGTTAATTTTTCTTAGACATTTTATAGTGCAATCTTGTCTCATTGTCTCTTGGGTTGATATTTTGCAAGCGTGTACTTAAGGAATGATTTTTTATGTGTATAACACAGACCCACTATATTTATTTCAAACTAGAGACCATTTTCAAGGATTTTTCCGACGTTCGCTCAAGCGCTCTATGAACTAGGGAAACGAGTCTAAAATTATCTGATAGTATCTCAAGTAAGTCTATATTTTGTTGCGTCAACCAAGTTTATAACCTACCTTTATAGTAATCTGTAAATTTTAGATTTATGTCACTACTGCAGCAATCGGTCTTTACTGTCACCTGTAATACGGTGTGATTCACGATAAATGCCCATGCACTTATTTATAGATTTACTTACATTATTAATTTTAAAGTTGGGAGAATATCTCGATTCGCATAAAGAATGGTAGACAACTTCTATTATGTCGAAAACAAAAACTAGACAGAGTTATCTCGCTTCGTTTTCAACCTTAAGGAGGAACGAAATCGTTTATTAAATAGTCGTTTTGGATCTGACAGGACTTTCGGTAATTGTTCTTTTGTAGGTAATAGGGCTTCGAGTATTTTAGATAATGTGTATACGAAATTTGTTTATGGTACCGATAACTTTGAGATTTAATGACCCAATATTTTCTCTGATCATTGCCTTGTCACTAGCATTCCTTTACAAGCCTGCTTTAATTGATGTACAAAATATATCCAATAGGTCATCCGAAAACGATTATTTCAAAAGTGTGTGCCATTGTGCCAAAAGGGAAGAATATTTTCATTTAAGAGATGATCATTCGCTGATATAGAATGGAAATTGCACAGTTTTGATGAAAATGTTTATTTGTCATTCTCGGCAACTGAGATGAATACATGTATCAATGAATTTAAATATATTTCGCCGGATGCCATAAATTCGGCCCTGTCCTATAGTCAACATTCTTATTGTGTATGTCAGAAATTCTCAAAAAAAAAAAGAAAAAAAGAGAAGAAAACAGAACTCGTTAAGAAAGAAAATAGTTGGATATTTTTAAACATCAAAGTAAATTTAATGTATCTGCCAAATTTCTTCAACATAGGAAGCTTGGATCATTAAAAAATATATTGTATTTAACAAGCACTGTTAACGAATCATGGCCACCCGTGGATATTTGTAAAGTTGCATCTCCTCTTTTTTACGAAAGCTGTAAAATACGAAACTAATTCAGTTTTTGATGTGAAGAGAACTGTTTGTTCAAAATTATATACTGAAGAATGTTATGAAAGAAAGATTTATTTTTTCGTAGTCTGATATCAATTGTATAGCTATGGTCTCAGCCAGGTCTCAATATAAGGCATGTGGTACGAATATAACAGAATAGAAACTGAAACAGAGCTAACAAATAGTTAAAATGTGCAATTAATAATAGTAACACGTATTGGATTTTCCATAAAATTAAAAATAGTAACAGTCCGCGGTTTTCTGTTACGAGTACGAGGACGTCATTTAAGCGTTTGCCGATGTGATTTTTAAGGGATGGGAAAGGGAAGTCTTTTTGAAATTGAAAAACATTTTAAACAGGGGATCAATAAACATTAGTATTCCAACAGTATTCCAGTGGTGTCGCGAGCTTGATGTCAAGTAAATAGCTGCATATTTTTTATCATTTTTTATATTTTTTGTTGTTGTTGTTGCTGTTGTTTGTGACAAAACAGAGAAAAAAGATGTTGGTGTTATGTCTTTTCCTCCCAAATGTACGAGTACAATAATTGTAAGAGCCTCACATTATAAGCAACCACAATAATAATTTGCATCCATTCGACCTTCTCTGAAGCCACCCTTACCAAAAATAAACTTCATTTCCAGGTACACACATTTTATTTATTTATTTTATTTTTTGTTTTGTTTTGTTTGTTTTTGTTTGAAAAAAAACTTCATTAGCCTCTTCACATAACAATACCTTTAAGTCATGTAATTTGGTATATGACATGAGCCGCGTCACGACAAAACCGAAATAGTGCGTTTGCGTCCAGCATCCGCGCAGTCTGATCAGGATCCATGCCGTTCGCTATCACTTTCTTTACTTGTAATAGAATTGGTAAGCGAACTGCATG